TCTACTTCCGCCACTGCTGTCGAAAGCTCAAAAAGTCAAGGCACTGGTGGCCTACAACCTCCCTCGAAGCAGTTTTTACGCTGAAAAAAAGGCGTTCATAAAACTCCCTTCCCCACTGCCATGGTTCATGTTGGATGAATTTACTCACAAAGTGCTTACAATTTGGCTGGAGATCCTTCCAAAGAAGTGCGAGCTTCCTTGAAGCACGCCCAAACGTCTGGGCATTGCACACCCAGCACAACCTTCTGCGCGATACAAATAAGCGAAGTTCTCAAAGAAAACTGGCAGTACTCATGTCATTCACCAGTTCAAAATGCACAGCCCTCGTTACCGCACCGGTAAAAAGTGAAATGTGTGTTTTCACTTCCACATAGTATTTTTTTCAATAATCAATGCCCGGCTAAGTCAATGCCAACCACCTCGAAGGGGTCAGCCTGCGTGGTCCGATAGGGTGGGAGAAGTTCTGTGGATGGCTAAATGCATGACGTACTGTATTGCATCACACGCACCACACACGCTCACGCACCACACACGAACGCACAACACTTTTCACTATCTGACGTCCACTTTCCATGTTTTCACTCCGTGATCTTGCGTCAACGCCATGTGGCGAGGCATCAAACATGATCCTCAAGTTCTTGCTGCTCTGCTGTCGAAGAACTGGTTGATAGGGAATATAATAAATGGTATGGCCATCGCTGGCTACCTCGTCTACAGCTGGCTCTGCTATTCCCTCGGCCAACGATCGTCGCATTTCAGCCTCGTACTGGTCCATGAGGCTGGAGGTTTTTCCAAGCCTCTTGCTCAAAGGATGTCTTTCTTCTAAGGAGCGAGGCTCCGATAGGTCTACATTTTCTCTCCATGGAAGCTAAACTTCGTACCATTCGTCAGCCATATTAATGTCTATTTTGTACTATTCCATCAAGCCAATATTTGGGGACTCTGTCAGCGTTTCAGACACACCAACACCCTCAATATCTCAGGAGAGCCGAAGAATGGGTTCAGTTTTATGGTTAGTCAGCGAAGTTCTTAACACGATTGCTTGGGCCCAGTTAAATGATTTGCACTTCGACATGGTTTGCCCTTGCACAGCTCAGCCAAAGACGGTTTCCGTAGCTCCGAATTTGCTGACAGGTCCTTTGTTTTGCTGGTTGGGCATTCCCAAAAGTTGTGAGAACTAATGTGCTCGTCGACTGTGCTGTCTTGCTCGATTAGATTATCGTCAATGGGGAGTGACAGTTCCCACAAGCTCTCCTTTATTTTCTCGTCGGGGCAAGGAATGGCTTGCTCACATATGGATGGCACTTCCAGAGCATCAAATGCGTACCCTTATTCAGAGGCATTCCTTAGTAGAAGACGTACTTCTACTCTACGGAAACTTCTCTGTTTTTGTTGTCTCCCAAGAATACCAATTGTGGCAAGTTCGGTTTCAAGAGCTTATAGCCAAGCTTTCGCAAGCACTCTTTTGTGATAAAGGTTCTTTGGCTGCCACTCTTCAAAAGAATCCGAGAAAGTTTCTCCGTTTTGATTCCCCCTTTCCAATTCTGTAACAGTTGCCATTAATACCGTCTGCGTTGTGCGAACAACGTCAACTTCAGGTGCAGGCAAGGTCAGGTGCATGCAAGGTTGCTGTAATGTTGGCGTTTATGTCTTTTTCGGTGCTGGCAAAGGTGGGATTGTACATTGACGTAAATGTCAGCGGCTGCACTTTCTTGCACTGCTTCGATATGTGCCTCTTCTTCGTGCAGCAGTATCACGCTCCTTCAGAGGAAATACTCGCCTTTTTCTCCACCAGTTCCAAATCAGAGTTGCAGTACTGACTCTCATAATGTGTGGATTCGCAAATCTCACATGCGGCTTTAAAACTTGATTCATGCAGAGCCGCAGCGAACGATATTGGGGCCTCACGTTCAAACGATCGGAAGAAAATGCAGGCTTACCCGATGAATTGTCGGGTCGACGAGCTTGTGTCCTTTCGCTCAATTCCGATTGGAAGAAATACCGATGTATGGTTGCCGATCCGGCTGATAAAGAGCTACCATCCGTGAATGAAGTACTCGGCTCCTGCTGCACCTCCACCCAAGACCGATGATAGTTGAGGATGATTTCCCGTGGAAGCACCCACAGCAGCACCGGGTAGAGCATGGTGTTGTAGCTGTCCTTCCCAACGCCAAGTGCCTTTAGTCAACGCATGTGTACTTGCAGGACGTCGTAGAGCCATCGCAGGTCGTGAACATTTCGAGCTGATGTCACGGAGTTAAGGTCTGTGAATTGTTGCATATGACCTTGAATCAGCGCCGTTGGGTTTGCGAACCACTGGGTCAAAATGTTGATGGTATCCGCGTAACATTCGGTCGTTGCTTACCGTCCTGCTATGGCTCCATCAGCTTTTCCTGGCAAAAGGGCCTCAAGGTAGTAAAACTGGTGGATGTCGGACAGTTAGGGGTTTTTGTGAATGGCTGCTTTAAACTGGGGCCAGAATGGCTGACAATTTTTCTTTTTGCCGTTGAGTTTGATCAACTACAATTTGGGAAATCTGGCTTTTTGAGATGGAATCTGGACTTCTACGATTGGTCGATTTGGAGAGAGATTTCTTTATTGTGTTACCTCACTGAAGCTTCAATTTATTGCTTTCAATGAGCCGAGATAGCTGGCAATAATATTGTAATATTCCAGCGCCTGCTCAAACTCTGCATCCCCATCATCGTCTGATAAGTGCGGTTCGATAGCGGCGTTTACCTCACTGAGATGTTTCTGGAGGAGAAGTAAACCCTCGATGAGCGCAACCACCGCATCGATGTCGGAGGCCCGTTGATTTCCTAGAATTTCTTCGGCCTCGCTGGTGATGCGGGTCACTTGAGTGCGAAGCACCTGTCGTTTTTCTTCGGCATCTCCATGGCTCTTGTTGATGCTGTACTGGGTACGGTCGATGTATTCGATGACTATGAGTGATCCGGTCATGGGTTTCGGCACCAAAAATGTATTGAATTCCTTGAACACGATATTGATCAGGGAAGGCACAGTTTGACAAAAGTACACGGTATTTATTTTACATTATTTACAGGCACAAAGAAGCTACTTCCGAACCACACAATGAAAACATCTCTGTGGCCGCCCATGCGTCTTTACTCGACCAGGTCTTTATTTCCCACTGTCTGCTCCGCCACCGCTTGTCTCCCCTGAATACCCCTTTTCGCCCCATAGGCGCCCTTGTTTCCCCGAACGGGTCCACTGAAGTGGCGTAACAGAAAATGGCTTTTTTGCTGAGTCCCCGCCAACGAAAGGAGAAACATGCGCGGTTCACATCACCCATCACACCAACTTGTATTCTATTTTACCTGAAGACTTAGTATTTTTATAATGAAAGAAACCAAAGTACATGTACTTGAACCCCCACATGCTTTGTTGAATTTCAGATCATAAACCAGACTGAAAGCAGCTCTATGAGAGCTAGCGTGGACACTCAATATATGGAGAGAAAATACGGAACGAGACATAAAAAGCCTCGCGAGAGAAACAAGAAAAGTCAGTTGAAGGTTTAAGGCTCCCAAAGTACTGTCAATATCACTATAATTTCCTGCGAAGGCATATCGCAAAGAACAAGCAAGCTTACTGTCCACCCTTTTTTACTTCTTAGTGATGGTGACTAGTAGTGTTCAATGACGCAAGGGCATCAGACCAAAGAGTATCATGATGTGCCTTTACTTTTTGCTTAAGGTATTATTAAATTACGATACCATTTCCGCTTTTCATGTTCTGAAGAAGCGTTTCAGCTATGTTAAAGCATCCGAAAGAATTAGAATCAAAGAAAAAAATCACCAGCTCGGATCACTTTCTTCAAAATATTTTAAATTTATAATACTGGAAATGTATTACAGCGGTTATTGCTCGGCACTGTTCTAAATTTCTCATGTATCCCCGACCTTTTAGTACGGATTAACAAAGTCTGTGTTGCATGCTCCTTTTTGCGAATCAGCCTATAGGGACCACTACGCATTCATATGAGGCAACCCACGAACCTACGCAGCTGCTTCCTTTGTTGGTGTTTTTGCAGCCGATGATGATTAAATATGTCTGACCGCTTTATAATGGGTGGACCTTCACAACGCCCACTCGTTGCGCCACTCACGTGTTTTGACGACTGGAGCGATTCTACGCTTCTGCCACGCAATAACACATGCGTTAAAGAGACTCCACCCACTGTGTGATCCGTATAGTGTTTTTTTTTTTGAAGTAGTTTCAAGCAATGGCGATGTGCAAGTTCCCGCTTTGTGAAATTTATGCATGCCTTGATAACATAGATCTGAAATGTTGGTATATTTGTCGACTCGATCACTGCATCCCTGTCATTTTTGCACAAATGAAGGGCAATCACGTAGTCCGAGACTGCTGCGGGGCTCGAAAGGCGTATGTTGTTATTTTGGATTTGCCTTCAAACTAAAGTAGTGACACGATGGACTGAGTGCTTCTAGCGTTTTATGGAGGGTTTAGAAGGGCTCCTTAAGTCGAGCAGAGTGCATGTACATGATAGGCACGCGGGAGGCGTGTAAGAAGGCAATGAAAGGGGTGACTACGCGGATTCATATTGTGCTCGGGGAAAACAAAAGAACAAAAAAAAAAGCTCGATGTGTTGTGCTGCGCTAAGAGTCCGCTAAGTATAGCCCGAAATCACAAATTTCTGAAAAGTCGTCTTTTATTTCTGGCTTCTTTTATATTTCCTATTCATGACCTACCCCTCTGTCATATCTCTCCTTCGTATACTGCCGTGCTTCATTTTTCGTCTCAGTTTTGATTCTGCTTCTGCCCTGTCACATCTTCGGTACCCCGCCATCCCACTTTTTCGCCTTTGTCTAGCAATCACAATATTAACCATTGCGTGCAGACGCGACTTATTCGTAGTCAACAAGCTAAACAGAGGCGTCAAGCTATCGCGCAGCACGACCCCCCGGCAAAGACAGCGCTCGCCGCCAACTTCCCGCTCTCGTGACGTGGCGGAGAGGGAAGGGGAAGCGGCGTGCCGGATAAAAGCTGCAGTCGGATGCCGAGGCTGTCGGTGCGTGCGAAGCGACGGCGGAAGATGCTGTCGCGTCTCGTGCTGGCGTTGATGTGCGCCGCCGCCGGTGCGGCCGGCGCGGCGCCGCGGAAGGCCGACTGCGATGGTCGGCCGCTGTCGCCAGAACTGTACCGCTTCCAGATACCCGACGTGCTCGGCACGAGGAACGTCTCCCTGGACCAGTACCGGGGTCACGTACTCCTCGTGGTGAATGTGGCCACCTACTGAGGTCTCACCTGGTCCTACTCACAACTGAATGCACTACAAGAGAGGTTCAGGGCCAGGGACTTCACCGTGCTGGGATTCCCTTGCAACCAGTTTGGCAAGGTGAGTGCGGCGGTTGGGAAAAGAGCGCTGCTTGCGCTGGTATCAACGCTATACTCATCGGGTTTAGTGGCGGCTGATCGGGATGATCGCGAGGCGTTCACTCGTCCTGTCACGCAATAGCGCGTCTTTATTGAAAGATGTTTGCAGTCACATTATGTTATGCCGTGATGCAAGTCGCTGGAGGAATGTGCGGCATCTGGAGCTTTATGCGTAGTCGCTCAATGATTATTCATTGAAGTGTGCCTTCGAAAATAATAATAATAACAGCAGTAAAATCAATTAAAAGGCGTAATAATACATTGTAACGACGTCAACAAGAAGGAAAATGACTATACACAAGCGTGTCCTGTCATATTCTTTCTTGTGTTACTTGCTTTGGTTGTTTTTGTTTTCCGCAAGGAAGCAATAACAACTGGGTAAACTTGTTCACTCGAACTTACTTTGTGTCAAGCCACCCCTGACAACTAAAAAAGGAAAACGAAGCTCCATTCTACGTATTTATAAAAAATATGTATACAGTAGTCTAACGTTGGAAAAACATGCGCTCTGTCCTGCACACCTTCGAGATGTTAAAACTCGCACTTTAACTTTTAACGCTTGCAGGAACTGCAGTTATTGCACATCGAGTGCTCACACTTCGAAGCAGCTGTTGGCACTGCTAACAGAGAAATATAAAGAGACAGAGAGTGATTTAATGGTAGTTGAAGATTCAAGCCCTGCAATTTGTAGAGCATTACTTCTTCAAATGGGTGTTTGAGCACACACGAAGAGGAAATAAGGCACATGAGTGGGGCGACGACAAAAGCAAAGAAAAAGAAGAATAAGAAAAAATGAAAAACTCAACCAAAATGCAGATTTGAAGACTGAAAAAAAGAAATTTCAAATCATGTCTAACTTTTGACTCAGCCTCATATATTGATCTAAACGAAGTCGAATGAATATTGAGCCTAGTGGACTTGAAGTATGCCATATGGTGAGGCAAAATACAGGAATTATTTCAGAAGATAAATCAATCCAGATGGTCTTCTACCAAAATGACTGGGAAAAAATCTGGCGCTACGATCGTTTGAATAAGCAAAGAGATAGTGTCGTGGTTGGTCTATTTCTTTGCAATCTTCGAACCTGTGACTTCACATGTTCGTGTGATCTGTTTTGCTACGCTTATATTTACGTAAATAATGAAGCAAGCCTAAACTCAGACAGCAACGTGAGTATGCGGGGAGACAGAATTACGGCGAATTGTTGCATTTAGGGCGCACTGCGTTCCAAATGCAACAGATCGTAGTGTAACAACTTATGACCGATTTTTTAATAAACAACGTGGCTGTCACTTAGAGAGAAACACCAAATGGGACTCTACAAGAGCGGCCAAGAAACCCTTCAATGTTTTCACGTATAAGAGTGCTCATACCGGTACCCATACAAAATATTTTTCTGTGAAATAACACAGCAATAATGGTGAAGCACTTTTTGCTCCAACCGGTAACTATCACCAATAAGCGATATTAACCGGCCGCCATGCGAACCGATTTTCTCCTGTCACATGAATGTAAATGCTGTTGTTGTAGCAATGTAAAATGATGTTCCGCCTACTTCGAACTATTGTGAGCTAAGCTTAACATATTAGCGTACGTGAAATATCTAACTTCTACTGGTGTTATATACCATCTGGAAGTGCACTTGACGCCAGAAGGGACCTTCCTTCAGTCTGTCCACATTGTTCATCTATAGCTATAGCACAAGAGTGATCATGTGGAGACCTCGAGGCTCTGTTTATGCATGCTGAAAGGTCAGAGATAATTGAGTGATGACATTTTGCAGCACTGAGCAAAAACCATTACACTTCAAACAGTATATATATATATATAACTATTCGAATGATGACTGCTACTGGTGATTTAAAAATATATTGGACTCAAAGTAACAGTCCCTCCTGACCAAAATTGATAGATGTTGCAGGACCGATGCGGGCTTTGACAATATTGCCCGAGCATACTGTAATAGAGCTTGACTAAATATTTCTATGTGGTTTATTCAGTGGGTAATTTATGACTCCTGATGATCATAGGCATTCGTACGGGCGTGGGTGCCTGGTACACTCCAAAGAAGAGAGGGGGGGCGAAATCAGCCTTTCTTCGAACTTCGCTGCGTACTGCACGAGGTCTTTACTTAAAGACCGCAGAACCGATACGACTTCGGTTTATTGTTGACAGAACAGGAAATTACCTAATACAATGACTTTGTATGACTGGATATTGGAACGCTGCGATGAACCTTCGCCCCCCCCCCCCCTCCTCCACGAAGGAGAAACCAGCGCACACCTATGCTGAAGAAATAAAGTCCTATCCACTTGGAAAACTTAGCACTATAGTACCAATTTAGACTCGTACACGTCTCGAAATTTGCGTTGAAATGCATTCGCGTTCCACCTGTTATTTTAACACAAGGCCTGTCCTTAGTTACGCGTCATAAAGCGACGTGGAACACTACTGATGGAGTTAGTGCCGTTTCCAGAACGGATATATACGAGCCAGGACTACTGGTCATATTCAGCTCCGCTGTATGATCATGTGGTGTAATCTTATTGAGCTAAAAAATTATAATTGAACTTTAGGTTGTCGAAAGCCTATAGAGGCATTCATCGAATATCTACGTATATAGCTAGAATTATTATTTTCCTTTAAATCCCGAAAATCAATAAGTGAAGACCTCGTGCAGTACGCAGCGAAGTTAGACGCACAGTTCGACTGAAAAGACAGGACGCACACTATGTTACAGTGCACATGATGCTATATGATCTGGCCCATCAATTCCTCCTACCTGTCCATGAAAGACTCCGGGTGAACTATAGTCTACCCCTTTCACGATGCCACTGCGTACGCTTCCTTCCCCTAGCGGAAAATACGCAAGACACCTTTTGATCTGGGCGGCAACTCCGTTTGTCTCGGCCCCTACTGAAATCCTACCAAAACGACCGAGCACATCGCAAAAAAATGAAAAGCTATAGGGTACATTGGAGACTGTGATTGCTAAGGCACCCCGTATGCAGTGCTTGCAATATATTTTCGATCGATTCGTTCTCAGGGTAACTAAGCCGTCTCTTTTTTTACATGCACAATTTTTTGCACTTTCATCATGCTACTTAGCACCTACGGCGACCAGCCTGGGAACTCCCGTGTGTGCTTGCAATGTTTCGTTCGTGTTTTGTTACTTCGAACATGAGGTTCTTATATACTACGTATTTCGTAAGGAAGAACCCTCAAGGTGTGGAATGTTGGCTCACCGTCGCTAACAGCCGCGCCATATACCTGAATCTTTAGAGCCACCTCATCGCCCTTGGTAGCATGCACTGCTATAGATCAGATGGTTATATATACAGACTGAAGTATGTGATAATACTTACGTCACCTGGCCTGTCCCGGAGCTAAATTTATGCCGTAGTTCAGGCCCATTATTCATGTATATACTTAAAGACTTCTTTTCGCATGCGATGCCTTTGTGTGTAAAATTAAATAACACGTGTTCAGCTACGGACAGCCACTGCGTGCTCCTAATCTCATCGCGACTCTAAAGACAAGCGCTTTCCCACGTTCCCTCGTTCCTTTTGTAGGTTTACCATGAGCGATAATTAGCCGACCAGCTCGTCAAAGCTCCAACTATACGGCTCGTTCTTCCGTTTTCCCGCTACAAAATGGCATCGTTTCATACAGACTCGTAGAATGTGACCCAGCCGCTGATGCCGCTCGACGAAGAGTGGTGCATTATATTGAAATCATGATCGCACTTCCCATGAACCTTCGACCGTGGGCCCGCGAAATTTATGCATCTTCCTCTGATTCACTGAAATTATACTCTAACCGGTGTCTCTGATACTCGGCAAACTTTTTTCTCAGCCGGGTTCCACTCTGACTCAGACTCCTTGAATCGTTGCTCAGCCAAACTTGCCAAGACAAAAATTTTTACGCAATTTACGTAGCCATGGAGGCACTCAGACTTACGGATCGGTCTGAATAAAACTCACGCTTTCAGTTTGCTGTTGCTTGCAGCTGCTATGTATAATGCATGCGGCTATATGTTGCCCCACTTAGTAGCATGATTGTCTGCAACACCATTTTTGCGAGTTTGGCAGATCCTTGCTCATTAGCTTTAATTTTCTTATTTCACTCTAAATTTTGCTATTTATATTGCAAGTTACTCTAAATACGCAACGACACAACAGCTGGCATAATATAAACTGGAACAGGGAGCGTCGTACCAAGCTGAACGCTGCTTCCAACTATAGCTGCGCTTCTGGTGGCTACAAGGGCGTTCTCTTCAATATACGCATGTATGTGTGGCTGTGAAAAAAATTAATCAAGTTTTGACAAATGGCTGAAAATTTGCAGGGAGAAAGGAAGAAAGTAGCTAGATGAAAGCAGGTGTGCGACCTCATTATGAAATTCTTCCCACTGAAACCATCATTTAAAATTATCTGCCACGCTGCTCGATGGGGCGGACAAGATGGAGGGCTTTTGAGCACAACCATTACGAAACAATTGTCACTACTAGTTCCCTCTTGAGCAACGTTGCTTGACATCCATTATAGAACGTCGATAAGTTTGCCTGCGTCACTTTAGTTGCTGTTCGTTTGCCTTTGTTCTACGCACTATCATAATAGCCGTTTGAACATACTCTGCTCTACACAGCTGTACCTTACAGATTGACACAGTGCGTAGTCGGGTCGCTGAATGGCAACGCCAGCGCTAACAGGACGTTTGATCCGAATCGCACATTGGTGTTACTCTACCACCATTCTCCTAACCATTTTTACTTCATCAGAAGCATGACCTATAGCAAAAAAAAAAATAAGGAATAAAGGAGAGAAACACGATAGGAACATCATCCATTGTTACTGCAATACCAGGTAGTATACGTGTGTATATTAGCCCATAGGCCCTAACTAACTAACTAATACGAATAATTGCCTGTATATATGAGCCTGGGTCTCGACGACGGCAGCG